AACCGTTCTGTAATATTGATCGTGGTTACACTGTGCTGCTCTAGGTCTAAATCACAAATTGTGCTGCCTCTTATAGGTTCTCCTCAGAAAAGGGTATTTATGAAATCAAAAAATGCAGTCTCTGCATCATCCCTGCCATGACGCTTATTTAGCCTTCAAGGGCATTGTCGATAATTCTCAGTGTTGTATTTTTTCTTTTTCTGCCTTTGCAGCATCTCTTTCTTTCTATCTTGTAACACTTTAATTGACCTTCTGGGTTTGGTGGTCTCCTCTGTCCGTATTTGTGCTTACTTACGGAATTTTATAGGGCTTCTGTATTCCTGTTGCTGACTCTTAGTTTTCTTTAAGGTGGAGACCCACTCCTCCATCGATCATTCATTTACAGTTTTTATGCTGATACTGCACTGATTATCTTCCTTCAGCAGACTCTTAGTATACAAACAGCTAAACTTAAATTAGACATCCCATTTTCCATTTGACTTTGGGTACATTTATACCATCTTATTAGCCACTTGCTCTTAGTTTTGTTGCCTGTTCTTGTATATGCTTGAATCTTGAATATGATGTTGTTGTTGGGACTGGTCCTTGACAAAATTCAGGTAGGAAATACGTTCCTTCTATCCTTTATCAGACTTTAAAGAATAAGTCATCTGAACAGTGCACTCCGCTGTAGTTGTTGACTTCCCTGGTATTCTGTTTAAAAATTACCCCAAAGCCTTAATATAAAGTGCCAGCAGCCTGGTTCCCAAGGAGAAATTCTCGGAGATCAGGACAATGTTGTGTGTTTTGGATGTGGGGATGCTGAATGATGTGCCACATTTTGGGAACTAGAACCTATCTGTATAGGTCTTGGAGACCTTTCTGCCTGTACAAAGGTTGGATGCTAACTTGTATGCTGGTGAGAGGGACTGCACTATGAACCCTAATGACTGATGGCCTCTGTAAGGAGGGTAGCACAGACTGTTGCAGAACCAACCTTGTTTTTACATTACTTTATTTTCCCAGCCCTGATGTGAGAGGTGTGGAGAAGGGAGAAAAATTATTTTTCTCTTGCTAAGGCATCTTTATATTTTCTGGTTAACTGGTTACAGTGTTGTCTGTTGGGCTGATGGTGATGTGGGCACTGGCCTGCTGAGAACCAGACTAAAAATATCCTTGTGAAAGGTAAAAGTATGTGCTATATAATACTTATTGTGTTGTTGAGAGCTTATCTTCGTTGCTAAAAATGGTATGAATAATCCAGGGTCTGTAAGTACCCTCCAGGAAATCTTCAGTTTTAGTCAAGTCAAGGGGCCTGATCTTCATAGGATTAATAACATGAGTTGCTCTGAAATATAAAATGTAGCTCCTATTGCTACGATTGCTGGGATTTTTTTTCCCCTTCTACCACCTAGTCCTTCTCAAAGGTTTAACAAACTCCTGGTGGATAAAAGTGGTTCCTTTTTTTGGGAGGGGAAGAGAGAGGACGAAACATCCATTTATGATTAGAAAAATTGTTCAGGTCTTCTGAAAAGGCAACAGCAGTGTCCAAGAAAGCTGAGTAAGTCTGCGTCCCATTGGGCAAGTGATGAATGTAGGACTTCCCAGTAAAGGGTTTCTGAACAACTTGCAAAACAGGTTCTCAATACCCTCTTTGCTAGGTACGTCAGAGAGATGCTTTTTCAGGAAGGAGAAGCTAGAGGGAGATCTGAAAAGAATGAATCTTGACTGTGGTCCTGGAGAAACTTACGTTAGAGGTCCGAACAAAGCAGGGATCTCTCTTCCTTTTCTTGTTTTGCTGCTGTTCAGCATCTTGTGGGACTAGCATGTGATTGCAGAGAGCAGGAAGCCAAGAAGCACCTAGCACAGGAATCCAGCCCAGTTCTTCCAAGAATGAAACGGTGATAAGACAAAGGAGCAATTTCCAGGAAGGTGCTTATGGACCTTATTTGGTAAAGGGTGGAGGGGCACACGTGAGACGTGATATGTAAGAGCTAGCAGGACTCTTCCCTCGAATGGAAAGGAGAAATGTTGAGAGTCTTTTCCTTGACGCTTAAACCCTTGAGAGTGCTAAGGAGATAGGAGTGAAGCCCAGTGTGGCTGTGTCCTGGGCTGAGCAGGCATGCTGGAGCCACAGGCCTGTACTTTGGCCACAAGCTGGGCAAAATAAACATGCTGCAGAAACAAACAGGCTTCTGCCCTCTAGGAGCTATCTCTGTGAGCATCTGTGTTTGGTGCAGTTGCCTTTTCTGTGCAGCTGCAGGCTTGTTTGCCTTGTGCAGAGAAGAGGAAGGCATGCAATTTAATGAAGATCAGAGCTTGAAGCCTCTAGGCCAGCTGATATTTGTGCTCACCAGTAGTCAGTGAGGCTCAGGGGTCAGCGGGCCGTGCAGAGGAGGACAGCAGATGTGACTCACTGTGACAAGAGGCTGGGGATAGGCCACGTCTGAACAAAGTTGAGCTTTGGCAAGTTTAGTCCCATGTCAGAGACTGTGCTATGTGGGTGTTAGGAAGGTTTAGCCCTCCTAATAGTCTCTTAAGTTTCCTCCTAAGCTCTCAGTCCTTGACTTGCTATCTGGGACAGCACAACTTGCGTCTATCATCAGTCCATTTTAACCAGCTCCTGAATGTTCTCATTCCTGACAGTGCCCTAAACTGGTGGGGCACATCTGTAATCTCTTGGTGACTCTTCCCACTGGCTCCCTGTGATGTCCCAGCACCAAGAATGAACTCGGCACAAATGCCTGTTGCTGATCCTGACCCAGGCTATTTCAAGTCCCAATGGAGGGCACTGTTTGACACAGGAAAAGTTTGGCCAGACATGGTTGAAAGTTACTTGTCTGTAAGCTAAACAGGGTGTCTGAGTCTAGCAGGTAGCTCTGTTTGAAACATAAGCGTTCTTCCTGTCTCAAAAATCCACCAGCTGGATGGAGGAGGAGGGAGTTTGTGGAGAGTTTTCTGGGGCTGGATGGCACAAGCTGATTTTTATCCCAACTACTAGATACGGCACCTGAAATGTATTTGTTCTGTGATCTTGATCCTGGCCACTGAGTGGGTCTTCCAAAATGAGTCCATCTGCATCCCAGAAATATGGAGATATGACAGAGAAAGCATGCAGAAAGCAGAAGGAGTTTTTGCTAAAGGCAGTCCAGGCAACGCGTCTGAGCTCGTGCCTGGGTTACAGGGCTCCTGGGTCATTCTGCTCTGTATACGGACGTGCTTGGCTGTGCTTTATGGGCAGCGTAGTCCTCACCTTTCTTAGTCCTTGCTTTCCATACCTGTAGAGTAATAGACACTTTCTGGGAACTATGAAGACATCGAGCACTGCAGAATCCTTCTTTAGGGCAGCAGTTGGGTAGTGGTGCTGTTTTGCTGCTGTTCAGTCATCAGTGAGGCATGACAGTATCCCCTCCAGTCCATTATCCTGGGACAACAGGTCATGGTGGTGCTAGTTGATTCCTATCAACCTAATGTTTCATATAAGGAAACAGTAAATGCAATAGGCTTAATTTGACTATATCCTTATTTCCACGATTTGCATACTCCTATTGCCTCTCTTAGTGTGATGAGGGCAGTGGCTCTATAGAGGCTGTATTGGTGTAGCATGAATAACCACTGTGGGTGGGATTTTTTTATGCTGATAGTCTGTATTGGTTCACTTAGCACTGTTCTGCTACTCTTAGCGCTTTCCTGTCTCCAGGCAAATGGTACATCCTGCAAAAGAGACTGGAAATCTCTGTTTCAAGGAAGGAGGAGAATAAGAATGAGAGCTGAGTGTGAGCATGACTCTTTTTCTGATGTCTGAGAGGGCTGCAAGTGCTGGGAAGGGCCAGGGGAACAGGTAAAGACACAGTGCTTGGGAACCAAACAGTGACTGAAACACAGCCACAAACAGTGAAACACAAAGTGGGGAAAAAAGTGTCTCTTGTAGGCTCCTCTTGTGTTTAGGGTTCTCACGAATGTGCTGAGCGCACTTTGGCTCCCACTTTATGAAGTGAAGAGTGTGCTCCTAAGCACCAAAGCAGCTATTTCTTCTCTCTTCCATTTGAGGGTGACACTGAAGGTCTGTGCCACTGTCAGTCCCACTTATCAGTGTGGCAAAGCCTGCGTCGCTACAGGTCCTTGTTGCTGTCCTGGAGAAATAGCTGTGGAGTAAAAAGCCCTAATGTCTTCACTTAAAGTGTGTGCCTGCACTGCAGGAGCTCCTCAGCTGGATGCGTGGGGCTCTTGGCGCAGTAGAGGCCAGAGCTGCAAGGGTTTCTTCTTGCAGCCCTTCAGAACCAAGCGTTTTATCCAGGGGCAGTTGCCAAGCCCCATCACACAACCTTGATGTTTAGAATATGTGCCGTCAGCACTTCCTTCACTCTCAACCTTGATGTTTTTCTAGATTCTTCTAGTGGTCATAGGATGAGTCTTGTCTTGGGAGGGGACTCGTTAGGAAACAGTGTCATAAAGTGGCTGAGCCAGATTAATCTCTCACTCGTTAGGAGTGGGCAGGTTTCTGTCTCAGCCCTTGCGCTTGTCTGGCTGGAAAATAAAGTGGTTCAACTCATTAACCCAGCAAAGAATTGTGGTGGGTTTTGACAGTCTTGTTTTCTGCCATTTTTAATGATCAAAATTGGATTATCGGGTGATCAGGCCAGTACCAGAGCAGGTGCAAGATAAAGAGTGGGATGTGTTTGAGGACAGGAACATACATGCATTGGGGAGGACGGGGAAGCAAGACCTCCACTTTGATGGATGCAGGTATTTATTCTGCTCAATTCTATCGTAAAACCTTGCCTTGAATATCCTGACAGTTGGGAGTGCAGTGGGGGGACCTCTTTTATGGCCTAGTTGCAATGGGAAGCTGACTTTTATCTCTTAGTCGTTGGGTGGTAAAGAAGATTTTCACCTCGGTTGTGAAATTGGATTAGGCTCAGTTGAGCCCTTACCGGGCATTAGGGGGCTGAGCTGTGGGGTGGTGGCAGTGTTGTGGTTCCATGTCACACCTCTGTGTGTCCCCTCTCTCTCTTGCTCAGCTCGGCATTGCTGTGGGCTTTCTGGTCCCTCCAGTTCTGGTTCCCAATGTGGAGGATGTGGAGAAGCTGGCTTACCATATCAGCATCATGTTCTTCATGACTGCAGGCGTGGCAACAGCCCTATTCATCCTGGTCATCATAGGTAAGGAGGTGGGAGTGTGCACATGAAACCAGGTGGGTCTGAAAAGATCAGCCTGTGTGTGTGAGGGGCCTGTGTGCTAGGAAATGGGCCGGGGAGGTCATCTGGGGATGTGTCCTAGCACGCAGCTGACAGGGTCATGTAATACCATATTTGCACCTTCGAGCCCTTGATGAACAGCACATGTAGAAGGGAGTACAAGAGGTTGTGAGTGAGCCTGCCAAATTGTTCATTTCATCCTTTGATTGCCTGCGTAATAAAACCCTGGCTTACCCCCTGAGTAAGTCCTTTAAAAGCCAACAGATATCTTCCAAGGTTCACAGTCATCTTACTTGCAAACAGGGTGCTGGGCCTTGGGTTATGTCTTGGACCTGACTACCTCTTAAGGGTAGGGAGAAAGAGGAACGTTATATGGCATCACAGGAACAAGCTGCTCCCAGGAGACAAAATGGTAGCCAATTATGAGTGGAGAGAAGGAAGCACTAAGGGCAGTAGCAGGACACCAGAGGTGCAATTCCCTTCCTTAACATGTGAAGTGGAAGCCAGATCTTTAGCATGAGTGATTGGCATGCTCACTAGAGAGCAGAGCTTGTCTGCTGAACTCCATGTATTTTTTTTTTTTAAAGGCCCTTCTTCCCAGCTTGGAGTAAGTCCTTTAAAAGCCAACAGATATCTTCCAAGGTTCACAGTCATCTTACTTGCAAACAGGGTGCTGGGCCTTGGGTTATGTCTTGGACCTGACTACCTCTTAAGGGTAGGGAGAAAGAGGAACGTTATATGGCATCACAGGAACAAGCTGCTCCCAGGAGACAAAATGGTAGCCAATTATGAGTGGAGAGAAGGAAGCACTAAGGGCAGTAGCAGGACACCAGAGGTGCAATTCCCTTCCTTAACATGTGAAGTGGAAGCCAGATCTTTGCATGAGGGATTTGGAATGCCCCCTGAGAGGCAAGGCTTTCTGCTTAACTCCATGTTTTTTTTTTTTTTTATAGGCCCTTCTTCCCAGCTTGTTCATGTTGCCTGGTAGCTGAATCAGATGTAGATGTTAAAGAATGTGGGGCAGGGAATAGACAAGGTACAAAAACGGCTGTCTAGCACCTGGTACAGCAGTGTCACCGGCGACTGGGATTTCTGGATGCTACTTTAATGCTAGTTAGGGACAGCAGATGGCTTGGCCAGCCTAAGAACTGCCAGGCCTGAAATAAAACCTGGCATAGGTCATTGCTCCCTAGGCCCTGGGCACTGCAGGGCACCAGGCCACCTTTGCCAGCTGGCTTTTACCATTCCACTTTTGCATTTGTAACTCCACACAACACTTTTGCAGCTGGCTGTCTGTCCTCCTGGAGACAAAGGCATTATTAGTCCTGAGAACTCTTTTGTTGCTGCAGACACTCCATACACAAAAAGCTAATTGAAGGCAAGGTGTTTCCCCAGTGACAGGAATTATTGTTGGAGAGACCTCGTTCTCTTCTGTTTCTGGATAAGTTCATGCATGGAGATCAAAGCTTAAGGACAATGGTGTGTTTTGTACACTTGGTTTTACTAGCCCCTCTGCCATCCCTCAAATGGCTCTACCCACAGTGTGTGCTCAGGCTCCCTGATTGCTCCGTTACAAACAGGTGTACTTTGTGTCTGGTTTCAGTCTTCAAGGAGAAGCCCCCGCACCCTCCGAGCCGAGCTCAGGCCTTGATCCAGTCAAGACTGACAGAGGAGTATTCCTACGTGCAATCAATCCTCCGTCTCCTCCGCAATGCCAACTTTTTGCTGCTTATGGTCACTTACGGTAAGGTTTGGCCTTTCTTCTGTGCAGTTATCACTGCTAGACATGCTTAGCTTCTCCCTCCCTCTCCGTGCTCTGCTGGGGCAGTAACTGGCCTGAGTTGTTTTAGGGGAGCATAAGGATAGCTGTGCTGCCACAGACCAGGAGTCCTTCTAGCCCAGCAATCTCCAGCAGTGGTTACAAGCAAATGCCTAGGGAAGAAGAAAAGCAAGGCAAGCACGCAGAGGACAATATGCCCCTGCTACTGTTCTCCCAGTCTTTGACTGTTTTCTATTCAGCGGATTTCCTTATCCTGTTGTCTTCTAGTCAGTTAGTTACTTGCAATGAACTAATCTAAGTGCTTACCTAAGAAATATATGGAGCTGTGTCCGAGTGCAAGTCACAGCACTGAGTGAAAGTCTTTTCCCAAGGCAAAGCTATGGCTGCCAGGCGTCCCAGTGGAGGTCATGTGGAGCATGCAGATGTGCAGACTGCGTCAGCTTTCTTGGCAAGTCCCTATGAAGCAAATGGAAGGAAGGATTGGAGAACATCTTCTTTTGCCATCCGTCCTTGCACACTGGGTTTGCTGCTTGCTTCTCTTCATCAGTCTTGGTTTGTTTCTCTGAGGGCAGCATGATGTGTTGAATCTGTTCCTGATGCTGAATTGTCATACGGAAAAGTATTTTTCTCTTTAGCAGGAAAGGCCATTGCGGTCTATGCCTGGCTGCATAATAGGATGTACTGTAGCCAGCTAGTCTGCAGGGAGTTCTGTCCTCGCTTCCTACCAGCTTGCTGTGGAAGCTCCTCAAGGGGGAAAGTTAAATAGTGCTGGAAGTTCTGCTGCTCTGCCAGCAGTTGTGCCTAAAGGACCTGATGGATGAGTAGCCAGGTTGGAGAGAGTGAGATGGTGGCTTTGTACCTGCTGAGGGTGCTAATGGTCTTTGGAGTTGTTGAAATCTCTTCTCCCTTCTCAGTGCAGTAGTCTTCTAGAAATGCCCCTCTCAGATCGCCCTTAAGCTCTGCTGGTTTGCATTGCAGCTGCTGGTTTGTGTTTTGGTTTTTGGTTTTTTTTTTTTTTCCCCCACAGTACACGATGTCCTCTCAGAAAGTGGAGATAGAAAAAACTGTCAGGCAGACTGTGTCTAAAAGTTGGATTGTGTCATCTGCTCTGTTTGCACTTACTCTTCAGGGAAAAGAAAGGGGAAAGCATTTGTTCTAATAGGCATAAACAAGTCCTAGAGGAGAGAGGAGGGCTCTCAGTATGAAGAGCATGTTTAGAATCTGACCTTCCTGGGATAATTCCCTTCTGGCAGTCACAAACAACGTGGAAAGGCTGTTCAGTGGCTCATAATTCAGTCTCTCTTCCTGCTGGTCTGTGCATTTGTTGTGTTCCTCTCTGTGTCAGCCTCATTTCAGTCTCCAGCTTGACTTGACATGATGACTGTTACTCAGAGAGGGAACTATGCAGTGAAACTTTTTTTTTTTAAAGTAGTCTGGCTTTAAAATGGGGACAGTTTTTCCTACTCAAGTCAAAAGTTATGTTGGCCAAGATTTAAGACATCTGCAGTCACATGAGTGCAACTGAGTCATCCTCCCTAGTTAACACACAGATATCTGCAGCCTCTCTTAGCTTTCGTATTAGCATAGTGTGTGTCAGGGGAGAGAGGGGGAAACCTGCTGCTTGTTCATATCCCTTGGCTGTAGAAAGAATGGGAGCCCTTACATGATGCCAGGTCAGAACAGGTCTGCAGACCTCTAAGGTCTTGGTATTACCAGCAGCTGCCAACTCCTTTCCTGTGGTAAGACTTGCAGTGCTGGAAACATTGGTGGCACTGCGACTATGTTAGTGCTAGTGGACTGTTTTTCAGGAAAACCCTCAGACAGCCTTTTCCCAGAGGCTGCTGACATTGCTTCCGTACAGCTGAGGCACAACATGGAGTGGGCATTAAGAAACTCTCAGTTTATTGAGTGGGGCTCTGCACTAGAGAGCAACTGCATGTTGCTACTGGGAGGCAGTAGGCAGGAAAAAGCTGGGAAAGCCTGGTAAAGGCTGGTAAAGTGGCAGTGATGAGACAGCCCCAAAGAATCAGCATTTGGAAAGGTGACGGGGCAGTGAGGAAGAGGCAGGCCAGCGAGATCTGCATAAGGAACCATTGTCCTGGAAGATGACAAGGGTGAAGAAGAGGGAGACCAATAGTCTGGCAGGTAGGGAATAGGCTGCTTAGCTATAGAAGACTTCGGTTCTAGTCTGAGGCTTAATAAGGGCTCATTTTGGAGCCATAAGCAATAAGCTTCCCCTTTCTGGCCTCTGTAAAATAGAGGAGACACTGTGAGGTCTCAAAAATGTTCTTTGTACAGCACATTACAAGCAAACCATGGTAACTAGCTAATGAATCAGGTGGGGCTGGACCTTCAGATGTCCTGCTCCCAGCTACTAGTTCTGGCTTTCCTCATGTGCATGGGCAGATGGGCGCTGCCCCGTTGGAAACAACCCTTGCCTGTTTTATGGGCATTCAAACAGCTGTAATTCACGGAGAAACTTCACTGAGCAACTGTGACATATGAAATGCCTACAACTTTTGCCAGCCCTCACAAATGCAAATTCGGCACATTGTCTTGATTCTTAGAATATTTTGCCTGATTCCGGTGCCAAGTGTTGCTGCCAACTCTGCATCGCTTTCTGCCCAGCTTGGGAGCAGGGGCTCTTCTCTCTCTTGGAAATTGCATGCATCACAGGGCTGCTGTGAAGCTGGTGTAGTTGACAGCATCAGCTACCAGAGCAGCGTCTGGCTGTCCCCACAAGGCTGCTGTCCTCTTGGCTAGGTGAGAAGCAGAGTACAAAAATGACTGGTCTATATTTATGCCCAGCTTTGAAGTGAAGCGGTAGAGGGATGGTGCTGATCTGCCACACTCCCATGTCCTGGCACTGCAGTTTGTGGTGTCCCCTAGTGAGCAGGGTGCTCCAGTGGTGGAGATAGGATGAAGCTGAATTAGGCTCTTGTGGGCTGTTTTGCCATAGCCAGGTGTTGCAAAGAGCCAGCTTTCAAGGCTGGAGGGCACCTCCTTGCTGTGGGATCTCCAGTTGTTCTCCCTCTCTGGCTGCTGTCCCTGCTGGAGTTCCCAGCTTTTCTGAGTAACTCTTGGAAAGGATTGGGTGGATTCTTCCTGCCTAAAGAGCATGACACTCAGCTTACTAGCCTCTCCTGTAACCTCCTGACACATGCTTTTGGAGCAGGGAGCATTGTCACAGGCAATTGGCTTATTTGGCATCACTTGCATAAGATTCTTCATCTGTTCTCTGTGCCATGAAGCTGTGGAGTGAGCTCTGCTTAATGTTGTCAGAGATGGTGTGTGAAGGAAGTGTGATGTCCCCTCCAGCTGCCAATCTTGTGGCTCCTCAGAGTGCTTCATGAGCTGCGGAGGGCAACGGGTATCCAGTGTCCCAGTGGAGGAGTGGGCTAGGCGCAGGATTGCTGAGTACTTCAGGGTCAGGGGAGCTGGAAGACTTCAGGGTTAGGGGAGCTGAGGGTTTTGTTCCCTTTGTCAAAGCTCTGCCTGCTAGACTGTGCTTCTGTATCGTGTCTTGCAATGTTTCTGCTTTTAGCTGAGGCTGAAAGAGGAAAAGTAGGAAGTGGGAACTTGACACGTATCTGTTCTGTCAGGATTTCAGGCATCTGTGCCAGAGTTTTTAAACCCATGCCTCCTTATGGAGCCTATAGATGTGTGAGCTGCAGTGGTGAAATCTGTGTCCCCATCCCTCCCCCCATCAGGATCACTGAAGCCTTGAAGAGAAACTAACTGCAAATGTAAATGACTTTCTGAGAAGAAAGTTGCGCTGACTGTTACAGACCTCATCCACCTGGGGAAGGTTTCTCAGTATCGCCCAAGGTGAGAGTGTAGCCGTTGCAGTACTGCTGGTCCAGTGCCCATGTGGATGTTCTTGTCTATTACCAGCAAAGCTCTTGGTTTTTGTGCCTTTTGGGAAGGTGTTTAACTCAACCAGACTTGCATGCAAGCTAGAACAGAGTGTCTGAATAGGGCTTGACCAGTATCACCCCAACGGTTTCCATTCTCACCTTGGGTGATACTGAGAAACCTTCACCAGGTGGCTGATGCCTGTAACAGTTAATCTAACTTCCCTTTCAGAAAGACAATTACTTTCACAGTTGGTTTTTTTTTTTTTCAGGCTTCAGTGATATCTTTTAAAATGCAAGACTTTTCCCATGCAGACACACACACCAGGTGCCTGGGGGAAGTGCTGTCTGTGCTTCACCATCGGCTCCGCTCGTACTTGCCTTCTAGTGTTTCTTGGCTTGGAGAGGATGTTTTTTACTGGCTCTCAGCAGAGAGAGTGCTATCAGGCTCTTCTCTGGGAGGAAACCACACAGGTCAATGGCGCTGGTGTTAATTGAATCCCAGGTCCTTGTTAAAGGTGTGATGCTGAGACAGGTGCTTTTCTTGTATTTTACCTTGGCTGGGGGGAGGAGGAAACTCCAATGCTAAAGACGGATCTGGCTGTGAGGGAGGGTTGAGACCCTATGAAGGGCCTGTAAGACTTTTCAGTATCAGAAATGTGCACAGCCCTTCCTCTAGCTGCTAAGGTAAGAACCATCCTGAAACTGCAGGGTGCTTCCTCCTGCATGCTGAGATCTGGCTGTCCTTGGTCTGCATTTCTTTCAGTAACCTATGCCTAGCCAGTCCAACTGGCTCTTCTGAGACTTGGCAGCCTTGTTATGGATTGCTGCTCCCAAAAATCTCTCTCTTTGGATTTCTACCCTTTCACTACCCAGCAGGAGAGTAGCAAGCTCTGAATGTGCTGCATTTTTATCCCTCTCTCAGGTCTGAATACAGGTTGCTTCTACGCCCTGTCCACTCTGCTGAACCGCGTGGTGATCCATCACTACCCAGTAAGTGCATCCAACCCTCATGGCCCTCTGATGCTTGCTGTTGTCCAGAGCTGGCTGCCAAAGGAGAGTCTGTGAGAAATGCAATGCCACAGCACTTCTGGCTGTCTCTGGCACAAGCTGGCTGGCTGGCAGGGGAGAGCATTGGCTCCTTTAGTTCTTTACACCACCCCACGCAAAAGCTGGCGAGCTCTAGCAAAGACAGTTCCTTTACACCCTAAACGACAGCATTTTCTTCTGAGGAATTCTTCCAGCAATTGCCTCCGCCCTGTTCCTGGCAGTGATTTCTACCGGAACATCTGTACCAGGAGGCTGCCCATACTTGTGGTCTGGTGGCAGAAGGGTGGGGTGCCTCAGTAGCTGAGCTACTGCAGAGCTTACTGCTGGGGCTGCGTGCCAGAGAGCTCCTTTCCATGCTGCCTTAGTGGGTCCCGATATTTCCTGGTCGATCTGGCCCAAATCCTAACACCAGGCAGCAAGCTTCATAGGGTTTATGCTGACTCCTCTCAGTCTCTGTTCACACTGGCCGGTGCTCACCTTTTTCTCTCGGCTGGCTCAGAGAGAAGTGCCAAACTACTGTTCTTCATGGGCCAGAATAGGGCACTGCATTGGCTCATACTGGGCCCAAAAGCGTTCTTGCAAAGCCTAGTTCTGGTTAGTGTGTTACCAGCAGAAGACAGGTATGGGACATGAACTTCGGTGTCTCTTCCTCTCTGGGTTCTCTGCATTTTGCTTCTTGTGGGCTATGACTTGGCTCCTGCGTTTGTGTGAGTGTGTGTGTGTCTCACCACAGGGGGAGGAGGTGAATGCTGGCAGGATCGGACTCACCATTATACTGTCGGGGATGGTTGGGGCTCTGATCTCCGGCATCTGGTTGGACAGAACCAAAACGTACAAGTAAGTCCCTTGTTTGCCTCTGTGCCCCTAGTGACTGTGCTCTTCCCCCATACTGTGCAAGGAGCAATCCTGTGCAGTTGCAAGTCGGCAGTCCGGGGATGGAATCATTGGGAGGGTTTGTAGGAAAAAAAATATGGTTCTTCAAAATCCAGTTAGTCTAAAGTGAAGTTTGGAGCTGTGTGTTAGTCTGCACTGGGCCCGTACAAGGTCTGGTTCTAGTGGTCCCTAGGGAGGCATAGGGAGGGGATGAGATGGCCCAGCAGCTGCTTTGTCGGGGATGAGAGAGCTCTTGGCACAAGCAGAGTCAAGACTGTACCAGACCATTTCTCAGCCCTTACAAACCAGCTTCTGTGAATCTTTGTCTGACTTAATGAAAGGCGCATTGAATCCAGTGCCTAGGGGCATTGTGTGAGGGTGCGTTGCTGTATTTAGGGCAGGCATAAGGGGTACTGGGGTTGCGGGTGGATGATTCCGGGTTTGCTGCCTGGTGGGCTGGGAAGGCAGATCTGGCCTGCATACCCTGCCATCTGCAAAGGGACAGATAAGAGTCTTTGGGTGTCCTGCAGCTCCCAGTCCTCAGGAACTCAGATCTCACTGACAGACCTCTGTAGGGTGTCCCGGGGGACGCAGAGTTCCTCTCCTGTCTTACATTGGGGTCTGTGTAGTCAGCTTTTCAGCTTCCCTGCTGGCTGTGAGAACTCTGCTGTAACCTGTTGTCTGAGCAGGTTGGGTGAGAAGGGGCTTTACTGGTGATGTGCTGGTGATGAGCTGAAGGCAACTTCAGAGTTCTTTTCCTTGCAGCAGATTTTCACCTGGGGGAGTCCCACTGCTATTATCCTGCCTGGTGTCTTGGGCCAGAAAAGCACGTTCTTATTCTGGGCAGCTTAGATGAATCTAGCTAGCTGTGGGCTTGCAGCATCTGAAGTGGCCTCTGGCCCTAGTTGTCAAGTACAGGGATCAAAAATGGAGAGGAAATGGGCTTCTCTAGCAAGAAAGAATGGTAGCTGGGGACTCCTGGGGGTGCTGGGAAAGAGGAGCAGATGACTAATACAGAGACTGGCAGGTCACTTGTTGCTGTTTCTAGATCATTGTGTGCCACTGAGTAGTTCTCATTTGGCAGTCCTGGGAAATAGAAGCACAGCTGTTATGAACTACACTAGCTAACTGTGCGATGTAACTTGTGTCTCTTTCCGACCCTCGGCTAGTGGTAAGGTAGCCTCAACTGGCACTGCTAGGGTGGATGGTCTTCCTGGTTCTCCCTAAGTGCAGCTAGGTTGCAGCACGAAGGCTGAACCAGACAGAGCTGGGACTTGAAATTTGGCAGAATGGGAGAGAGGAAAAAAAAAATAAAAATCCTGGATTTGTTCCACGGCCCCTGCTTGCTTGGAGGGACCACGTAGGTGGGCAGAGCTGGCTGAAAGTGCAGAAAAATAGGCACTATCCATGTAACCCATAGAATTTATCCTACAGACTCCAGGGACTATCTGGGGATAGATTTAGCCTTAGGTGAGGAAAAACACTGCTAAGAATTTGTTCTCCATTGCAGCCCACAAACTGGATTTCTGTGGAACTAGCAAAATTTTTCTGAGTGCTACAGAGTCTTTATTTAGCCCCATTTAAAAGTCTATTTAAAAAAACTGTCAAGATGCCAGATGTTCTAGGTAAGCACCCTCCCCCTTCCCTCCGCTGCTCAGATAGTGTCAGGAACGAAATGGTAAGCACATGAAAATCAGGAAGGAAAGATGTCAAGTCCTTTTTTTAGTCAGCTTGGAGAGAGGAAAGCAAATGAATGGGATCCAGCTGTGATTGAGGGGAGCAGGGGGAGGTTAATAGCAGAAGGAATTGCAGAGCTCTATATGCGTATTTGATCTTTACTGTCCCATCAGCAGTTCCTTGAAAGGGTGAGGCTGTGCTAAGTCAGGCTTTCCCCATCTGTCGTGCTCAGGCACCAAATGGCCTTGCATTCTTGCTTTTATTTGGCAGGCAAGTCCCTGCAGCAGCCCCTGCACTGTTCTTATTTTTGGAATTAGCAGGCGCAGATTTGGCCCATACAAATACGTGAGTTACGTTGTGACGAGCGAGCGGTCCCAGAACTGGAGCTGCCTCTGGCGGGATGGCTTGTTGAGAACAGCCCACCTCTTCGAAAGAACACGATTTGACATCAAGTTAAATGGGGCTCCATGTATATCCTTCAGGTTCCTGGCTCAGAGGAGAGATGGGCTGTGACACCTGGAGGCTGCTGGGTGTATTGGTATTTGTAGGGAAGTCTGGCTCAGAATCGGGGCTTTGGGGACTGGATTAATCAGCGCTTCTCTTTGGCCCTGCTTTGCTTTTAAGGGCAGTGTTCACATGGCCTCTGGTCCAGCTGGTTCCAGACAGCGCTTTCTGCTGCTATCGCTGCATTTCTGTAAGGCAAGATGACAGAAATATCCGTCTCTCTCCATTGACTAGGCAGAGGACCCCAAGTAGTGTTTTAAACTTAGGTCCGTTCAGGCCTAAAGTGCATTAGATTTTGGGGGAGGGAGGAAAGACTTGGATATTGGAGAATGGGGCGCTTGGGTTTCTTCCACTGAAAGGTGAATGCTCTCTCAGGCTAGCCTGACCTGCAATTTGGGTCTTCTTGTTGTAGCCCTTTTCCAGGTTAGTCCTTGTGTAGTGGATATGCCTTCACCCTGTCCTGCCATATCTCTTATATAAATAATTTACCAAGGCTGTCCTTTTTTGTGACCTTCATACAGGAAGAAAGTGGCATAAAACTGAGTGCTGAAGGATGAGGGGGTGGTGAAAACCAAACCAGCCCTCTCCAGTTCTTCCCTTCTCCAGCATCTGATACCTCAGTGTCTTCAGCAGTGAGATCCTTCTGGGAGTATAGGGACAAGGCCTTTGTTCAGGGTCTCGTGCAGCCTGGAATGTGCTGTCCTCATGGCAAAGCCTGTGGAGGTCATCTGTCATCCCAGTCTGTACAGCAGAGCGCTCTGGAGCTGCACACAACATCCCAGTGAGCAGCTAAAGCTGTGGCACATGGCTGTGGCCTCCCCCCCACCCCTTGTTCTTTTGTTGCTCCAGATGTTGCTTGACTCTAGTGTTTTTGCAGCTCCGATCCCCTGTGAGTCTGGTGACCCTGTGAGACACTGCTGGGCTGGGCCATGCCCGTTCCTTGCTCTAGAGCTTCCTCTGGAGTTGGTTGAACAGCAGGAGTTGTGCTCTCCGTTTCAGTCCTGTTCCCTGCTGGTGCTGGCCCTGGCTGGCTTTTTTCCCCTGAAGTCTGTCTTTTCTCACAGCCTCTTGTGTGAGCTCTTTAATCTGCCTCTTCAAAACAGTAGGGAATGTGGCTGGGATGGCAGATGAATGTCAGGGCAGCTTAGGTTCACCTAAGTGACAAGCGTGTCAGCTCCTTCACAGATCTTCCTCTGGCTCTGCCACAGAGACTTGGCAGCTGGTGCCTTCACAGCACAGCTTCCACATCGTTGCGCTGGGCCTCCTTCCCACGCCCCAGAGCACAGAGGTAGGTTAACCCCAGTTATCCAGAGGTGATGTAGCAGGATGCGTAACTTCCAGCCTGCACTCACTGTACTGGACAGCCTTTCAAGGAGTCTGGCTGTACCTGTTCCAGACAATATCAGTCCATGTAGGGCCATCACGAGAACAGGTTGCTAAAAACACTGGGATGCTCTGCGAATGTCCTCTGTGAATCTGTTCCTCCTTTGGGTTTTTATCTCTCCCATAAAATATTTATGGCTATGATAAGAGGCTTATAAAGCAAAAACTGGCATTATTCCATGCCCTGGTGCCCCTAGGGCCACAGAGCATTCTTGTCCTCTAGCGAACATGGTGACAAAGGCCACTTCCTGAGAAACGCCCTGCCTCGGGGTCTTTTCCCCAGGGGTTGCTTTGTTTCCCTATGCACCAGTATCTACCTGTGTCTTGACTAAACCCTTTGTTTGCAAATTTTCGGGTCTTGATTGGACTGCTGGGCACTAACTCAATCTCCTTTTTTGTCATCAGTGCTCAGGGGAGCAGGGTCTTGCTAAAGTCTGGTTTAGTAGAAGTCTGCCTGGGTGCTTGAGGCTGTTTCCTGCAGCAGGAGTTGCGTTCAGGGCTGTCTGTTAAGTCCCAGTTAGGGACTGTGTTGGGCAGGCAGCCGCTCAATGCGTGGCTTCAGGGTGCTCCCTGGTGTGTGATTTCCACAGCGCGCCAAGCCTGCAGCCTTGTTCTTTCACAAGGGGTCTGACAATTCATTTTGTCCTGCTGGAGCCTGATGATTCAGGGAGGCAGGTCAGTGAGGAAAGCTGATCGTCCTTGAGCCAGCTAATGTGCGGTAGGTGTGGTACCCATGGCAAAAGGGAACAGTTTTCTCCATTTTGTCCCCCACTTACTTCTGCAGTTCCAATGGAGAACACCACTGGCTTTAACCTGCAAGAGCTGCCTGCTTCTCTGAGCCTGCCTGCTCTAGTTCTCAGTGCGGGGCTGTATGTTCTGGGAATTTCTTTCTTGCAGCTTGACTAATGACATCATAGCATCAATGCGAAACAAAGTCCTGACCGCATCTGGTCACTAACTCATTCATCATCTTTGCCTGGAGATGAGGAGCAAAGCGCAACTGAGGACAACTGTCATCACAGAGTGAATCAGATACAGACTACTTAGAACACTTGAACCTGAAGCCTAGGAAACTGGGTGAGATTTTGTGGGACTATCCTGAGAGCTCTGCACTGAGACCAAAACTGGCTGTGGGAAGAAAAAACCCCTCCGTGCGCCAAGTGTCCCTGCTGGCTGAGACTAAGCTTCTTAGGTGTCACAGCCACCTCTTGGAGGCCTGTGCTGTGTTTTAGCACTGACTGCTATGTAGTTTGGAGGCTCCTGTTTATGGAAGGAGCACCCAGTTCAAACTTGGTCCATGCAGTCCAAGGAGCTGTAATTCTAGCCTTCCACCCCTTTACTAGTCAGCGCAGTCCATGGCTACTTTTCAAGAGATGGGAGGCGTAAGAACTCTCAGGAGATATCTGAGGAACCCTGTATTCAGCACAGAAAGGCTTTTACCTGCTTCTTGAACTAGTTGATCTTCAAGGTCCCTTCCAACCCAAACCATTCGATGATTCTCTTTCGCTTTCCTGGGGCTGCTCTCTAACTCCTCTGTCAGTCCTTCATCTCTTTTCCTTCTGCAGCCTCCAGGCTGTGTGCTGGCCATGTTGCTACATGGGTTATAGCAGAAGTAAGCAGCTCCTTTATGCTGCCTTCATAGGTGACTTTTTTCCTCCATGAAAGCATTGGAAAGAACATATTCTAGAAATGACATAGCATCGGAGGTTAAGGGATTTGCCTAACCCTTTGACATTAAACAAAGTTACTTGTCACAGCAAAATGTTGTTTAGACTTTCAGTGCATTAAATGTGTCTGGTGAACCTCTGTAAGCATGGCTTGATAGTTGAAGTCTGAAATTAGCTTCTCAAGCCTGTATTTGGATAAGAAGTGACGCAGGAGCGTGAAACCCACTGACTTAAATCACTGCCAACAGTGAGGGAGGACAGAACCTTAGCTGGAACATTCTGGTTTTATCTGTAGTAAGCCAGTGTACTGGAAACATTTTGTCATGCAATATAATACTGGCTGCCTGTTTGGGGTTGGATTTTTGGTGGTGGTCATTTGCATTAAAAAGGAAAAAAAAAAAAAGTAAAAACAGTTTGAGGTTTAGTTTCTTTAGCAGAATTGTAGGAACTGATACCAAACACATTCTTTAATGGATTAAGACTAAAATTTATAGAAAGTGCAGTAGCTCACAGTTACACATTTAACTTTTTCCTAAAAGACAATGCCCAAAAAGTTAATCTTTTGTCAACTCTGGTAACTGTTCTCCTTTCAAGAGCCTGGTGGAATTTCAGTCAGGTAAAGGATTTACCTTCCCTTTTTTTCTTCCCAAAATTACGTACTGCGAAGGGCTACTTGCTACTACCTCCTGTACTGGAAAGAGACGCTTTTTTTTTTTTTTTGGATATCGGAAGACTGTCCTTGGGGTCTAGTCTGGGAAGAGTTTCCTTGGTGTCTAGTCAGGGATGACAATTGCTAACGTTTCAGTTCTGGTAAAGCTGGCCTGGGCTGCTGCCTGTGTCTCGCAGTACTGAGCCCACTGATGTTGCTCAGTGTGGCCAGGCTGCAGATACGGCTGTTCCAAGGATCTGCCTAGCATGCTTCCTGGGCGCAGGGTCTCTGTCCCCTCTGCCCAGAGATGAGAGCTTGTGGTTCAGCCGCTGTTGGCCATGGAACTGGCACTAGTCCTGTTAAATGCTGCTGTGGCTTGAGGGTGAAGCTGTATGGGCGACCTGGCTTGCACATCACCTCTCCAAGTACAGTAGGAAGCTTAAACAGAGAAAGGAGCAGCAATGAAAGGTGTTTTGGATAGCATTGAAAAATACAGGCCCATAACACTGTTAGCAGTGTTGTGTCACCTCTTCCCTTTGCTTTCCTGCTTGGGAGTGCTTAATTACCTCAGCTCCTGCTTATAAGTAAATGTGTCCAACTGGTGGTAGTACAGAGCATGCCCAGGAAAGATTAATGATCTTTTTATTTGGCTCTTGGTCTCTCCTTCAAGAGGAATGCACAGTGCATGACCAGGGACCTGTCAGCCCATGGTAGGATCTGAGCTTCTTGGCTGCCTCATAGGTGCCTCCTTACAGATGTGATGCCCCGACCCCACAGGGAGCAAAGCTCCCAGTCATGAGGTAGGGATGTGAAAATTCCTAGGTCCTGTTCTTGCTTCTCCTGCTGCCCTGCTGTGTGTGCAGGCCCTTCTGTGCTCTCTGTCAGTCCGGTTCCTCTGTCTGGGGTAAGGGTGTCAGAGACCTGTTCAACTTTTTAAATTTTTTTTTTTTTTAACCATGTGGTGCAAACTACACCAAGCGGGTGAAAAGAATAAGAGGACTGGATTAAATAAAACCCTGACTCTGCTTTTCCTTGCAGACAGACAACACTAGTCGTCTATGTCATGTCTCTGGTGGGAATGATAACCTACACCTTCACTCTGAGCCTAGGCCACCTCTGGGTGGTGTTTGTGACTGCAGGCATGCTGGGGTAAGTTCATGTGCAGGCTGCTTTCCTCTACATGTGAGCTGCTAGGGGATGAGCAGGGAGGCAGAGCTCATGGCGCAGGAGGGATTGGGGAGAGCCATAGCCTGTGTGTGGCTCCTGCGTCGTTTAAGGACAAAATGATCGGCTCTTCCCATCTGCCTTTCATATGTGTTTCATTAGTCAGGGACATTAGCATGGGCCTGCTCAGCTGCAGCTGCCTTAAATGTTCCAGGTAATCAAGTGTGAAAGCATTTGGGCAGCGAGTGGTACCACAGACCCATAGATGACCAATGGGCAGGAATGAAAAGCATGTGGGCCTGGGTGGCTGTTTGACTGTGCTTGGGATGATGCCCCTTAGAGTTACTTGTGGGAGATGCTGCTTTTAATGCCTCCTTTTTGTAGCAACCAGCTGCTCCCTGCTGGCCTGGCTCTGTGCCTTGAGGCTGTGGGCAAAGGTATTTCTGGGTAGGAGGAAGACCTGTGCCATGGTGAGGGAGTCAGACAGCTGCCTGGGCTGCGACAACGCTAGGGGAAACATCCTGTGCAGTCAGTGAAGCATCCCAAAAGGGATATGGGCTACACTGTGCCTCTTCAGTCTTCCTTCTGGCAGTTGCTGAGTCTTCCTTTCTGTGTGTTTCTTTACAGGTTTTTCATGACAGGATACCTTCCCCTGGGCTTTGAGTTTGCTGCAGAGTTGACATACCCAGAATCAGAAGGAACATCATCAGGGCTCCTTAATGTCTCAGCACAGGTAAGTGTGCTGTTTTCCCTTTGCTTGCCTCTTTATAGGCAGAGAGATTAAATTGTAGTTCCCAGTCTTGACTCCTATTTCTTGTCCATGATCATTGTAATGTACTGCAGATCTAAGCATCCTGGGACCTGGCTTATTGAATGATGTTCCTCATGGCATTTCTCTAGTGGCACCCATTCTGTTTCTGCTTAGGACAATCCATTGGGATGCCAGTCATCCTTGCCTTTTCCAACATTGCTCCTAACAGCCTAGGACCTGGCTCTTCTTCAGTGAGAAATGGGATTCCAGCCTTAAGGGTCACCTGTCTTCCCATCAGCTGCAAGGAGGTGCCTCTGGATGTGTTTATAACAAAACTTTAGCCTCGCTCTGCCAAGAGCTTGGCTGGCCTGTATGCTCTGATACTTTGGTAAAGCTGTGAAGCTGTTTGGGCTGCTTTATAATAACAGTACAGCTTGACAATGCCTTTGTTTGTAGATTTTTGGTATCGCCTTCACCATTGGCCAAGGACAAATCATTGATCACTTTGGGACGAAGGCAGGAAACCTCTTTCTTTGTTCCTTCCTGTTCCTGGGGACCATTATGACAGGTAATTACATTTTTCAGTGTTCCTCTGCTGTGACTCCTCCCCTTGGGCTTGGCATATGAATTGAAGGGCTTTTCTGTGTAGTGGTGCCTGCAGGAAAGGGCAGGACCCACACAGCAGTCCCATAGCAATGCTGCTGTGCTTATTTAAGCATCTGGTCTGTGTTACAAAGAAGATCCAAGGCTTCTTGCCCTCGCTGCTGGCTGGGGTTTCAAAGATGCGCCTTCTACATGCTGCAATAAGGAGCCTCTATCCTGCCTGTTTCAGAATTGCTCTCTGCCTCATCCAGGAGACCGGTTTCCCTTGTAATGCATTCCTGTCTCCTCTGGGGCTTCTGCTGCCCCTTTGAGTCCTGGGGAAATTGATTTGGGCTCTGCATGGTGACTTAACTGCCTTCACATCTCTCTTCCTTCCTCTGTCCCAGCATTCATTAAGGCTGATCTCCGAAGACAGCAGGCCAATTTGGATAATGAACAGACAGTGAGTAAACCCCCCTTCAATCCCTGCTGTGCCTCTGCTATTAGCTCAGGACAACACCCAACCTCTCCCCTTTCTAGGAATGGGGCTGGCCCTTTCTGAGTTACAACTGCAGCTGCAATTCTCTTCTTTTATCCCACCACTTCTTGCCCAGCCTGTGGGGAAGCTCATTGTTGGCATTTTCAGACAGGTGGCTGTAATCCCAGCTCTGCTAGCAGCTGGGACCTCTGTTTGCTTACTGTTAATGTCAGACAGAATCTGTAGATTCTGGCCCTCTGTGAGTCTGCAGGGCTTCACACATCTTCCTATTGCCTAGGGACAGATGTAGGGCAGCGCTGTGCTTGCTTCTCTCCCCTGACAATGCACTGAGCCCTCCAGTGCTTTGCCCTTGTTTAGAGCTGGGTAACTATTATTCCAGGCCCCTAGGGAGGCAGGTTATTCCTCTTATTACCTGTCCTCAGCTGCCAAGTGGGGTTCAGTGTATGGGACTGGAGGAAGCTAGGTGGCAAAGCCCAAATGAGGGCTGGATCAGCCTGGCTCCCCACCCTTTGCGCAGTGCTGCAGACAAGGCTGCTAGTTCATATGTGAGCACCAGAGCTCAGGGTATGATGTCCCTGTGGCATACTGTGCAATAAATGCAGCTGTTTGCATGTGGGAGAGGGCCTCCAGTGAACTAATTGCAGTGGATACTCTTAGAAGCTCTCCCTGCAGGGAAAGGGAGGGGACTGGTGGTTGTTTGAGGCTCTTTTCCTTATTGCTCTGGGCTCCTCTTCTAGGACGTTAGCAGAGACGTCCACTCAACATTCATGAAGCCATCACCAACCATGACTAGCAAAGTGCATAAGCTCAGTTCTCTGCTGGCTCAAGTCGGCTCTTTTCAGAAGACAGTGCTACCTTCCTCCAGATAATCTAACCAGTCTGATCTGGAGAGAGACCGGAAGGTCCAAGAAGCAGCTCTACTCCAACTGGCTGCTCAGGAAGGTGGATTTTCAATTAAAAAATATATGCTTTTATATTTTTATTTTTTATTTATTTTTACTGAACTATCTGAGCACGAATGCAGGGGGTAGAATAAGTAAAGGGAATTGATTCTGCCTTGAATAGTTCTTGCACATATAATTTTAGACTAGATGGGGGGAAAAGGCTGTCAAATTTATCTAGTTTGGGTAAAGGAGTCCCCCCCCATTGTCATAACTTAAAAAGAATTCCTGCTTTTTTTCTGCACTGAGGCTTACAGCTTTGGCTGATTTTAGCAGTGGTGAGCATCATGGTCTACGGGACCAAGTAGAAGACAACTGGTCTCCCAGAATCCTGGCATGAATGGGGCTAACTGGAACACAGCTAAGCTGAGCTGGGGTAAAGGCCAGTCTGTTTTGATATAAACTGCTTGAATCCCTTGCTTAACAGTGCTTAAGTCAAAGGCAGAAGATGAATTGTAAGGCCAAACCATCCTCTGCAAGCCCTGAGGCAGCAGGGTTGAAATGAGAGGTGCTGGTGGCACTGTGGGTTAATTCATAACACGTATGTGGAAGGTCCAGGAAATATCATGGTCCTTTGGCAGTGAACAGGATGCCTAGTAGTAGTACGGTCCTTTCCCTTTGTCAGACACTTCTCTCACCAGATGAATTTTACACTTTTGCTTAAGCCATTTTTAGTATACGTCTTTCTAGTATAAATACAATTGTAAGAGCTTGCTGCTGGAGCGGGGAGGGTGTTGACAACAGAGCAAAGGTGGCACAGGTGTCATTTCTGTAATCCTAAAAGCCTCCAGAAGTGACAGCAGTAAAAACCAGAGAGATGTGTGTGAGGTAACAGGTCTCAGTCAGTCAAAAACTTTACTGGCAGCTCCTTCCTGCCGCCGGAGTACAGACCCCCAAATGTGGCCTCCATGTGGCTGAGCACACCTAAGAACTTCTCAAGCTTAACAAACAACCCCAGGTGCTCGACTGTCTGAAGGTGGGCTGAACCTGATGTTCTGTGCTAATGTGGATGCCTCAGTCAGGGGAGCAGCCAGCTGGGCTTGGGCATTGTGTGCTGCCTTTGTGCAGAGCTCTGACGGAGTCAGATACTGAAGCTTTTCTACATGGCACAGCTGCCTTACACATGCTTGGGTGATTTTACTGGTTTCTTCCTTTGCCTGTTCCTCTTTTTTATCCCTTCCCCTTCTGTTTCCCTCCCTGCTTGCCTCTGTCTTTTCTGGGATGGTGACTTGTGGCTATTGTTACAGAGACTCCAAGGCATCAATCAGATCACGGATTATGGGACTGTAGCTTGTAACCCTAACCCTATGAATTCCCATTCCTGCTCACTAGCTCATACACAAAGGTAGGAGAATTGCACTAATCTGCTTCTCTGAACACTCACGGGTGGCACAGGCACCAAGCCAATGGCACTTCTAGGGTGACAGCAATGGCTGTAGAGTACCAAGAATCTTTCTGGCCTTCTCGGGTACCCACCTGAGAGGAAAGACAAGACAGCTTTCAAGAACAGAGTGGAGATCCCACCAGACTCACGTCAGATAGGGGCATAGGGATTCAACTAGGTGCAGCAAGGCAAAGCCTGGTGCTGGAGCAGATGGAGAACTGAACTGTCAGTAAGTTATTGGGGAGAGGAGCTGCAAGTGTTTCGAGACTCTTCTCAGACATTACTTTTACAGTCCAGATTCTTGGCTGGAAGTGATATCGGGAACCCTGCAGAAGAGTTGGCTTTAATCACAGCCAGGGCACATGGCCAACTTCAGGAAGGCAGTTTAAAAACATGTAGCAATAACAGAGTCATTGGGTTGGTGCCTTTTGGTATAAGAATGCCTGAAAATTGTAAAGCTTTGTACTTGCTGATCTGTGAATCTCAATGGCACTTGGCATTTTCTCAGCTGTTGCTCAGAGTGTAACGCTTTATTACTCACTGTCCTCTGCTTCGCACTGACTGGCTGATTTACCAAGTTAACCACGCTATCCTTTGCTTTTTAAGGTGTTCATCGAGTGTGTGTATCACTTAGTGCCACAGCCAACAGGACTAACAGGCAAAACCAGAGTGAGTCCTGGGAAAAACAGCCTTAATCTGCTAAGACTAGAGCGTGTGCTACAGGGAATGTGAAGCTGCCATGCTTTGCTGCAAGCATGAGGAAGAGTCCCACGGGCAGGGAAAGATTTGACTCCAGGCTGAGTGCTTCTGAACCTGGCTCCACGCTCCAGTCTGTGGCAGTTTTAGCAGGGTAGACGTGTGGTGTTGATTTGGGACCAAGTAGTTGAGAAGCTGTAGCTGCATGAGCTCGGCAAGTCTGCTTGGCGTATACTGGTACTTTTTTTGATGGTTGAAGTTTGTCATCGCCTTTGTTAGCAGACCTAGCTTGGTACAATTGCCAGTGTTACCATTGACATCACAGTTGCAAAACAGACACTGTGAGGCTCAGGCATGTTTCTATATAAGCCCTGTGTCAAAACTGCTTCCAGAATGAAAAGAAAGATGGGTCATTGTCATAGGAGCTTCCCTTCTGAAGGGAACAGAAGGCCAAATACGCGGACCTGACCCGCTTAGGGAAGTCTGCTGCCTCCCTGGGGCCCAGGTTAAAGATGTGAAGAGAAAGCTTCCTACCCTGGTATGGCCCTTAGATTATTATCCATTATTGATTTTTCAGGTAGGCAGCTATGAAGTTGCAACAAGAAGTCCGAGGGCAATCAAGAGAGACTTCAGGGCCTTGGTCTGACTGGTTAAGGGATCAGGAGCACAAGTAGGGTTCTCCTCTGCCCTTCCAGTTGCAGGGAATGATGAGGGAATAAGCAGGAAGAGCCAGCAGATCAATACCTGGCTCCAAGCCTGGTGTCACTGGCAGAATTTTGGGTTTTTTGATCATGGGTTGGTTTACGCAACACCAGGCCTGCTGGTGACAGACCTGTCTCAAAGGGGGAAAAGGATCCTTGGACAGGAGTTAGCAAGGCTCATTGAAAGAGCTTTAAACTAGATTTGAAGGGGGAAAGTGATAAAACCAGGCTTGCTAGAGATAAGCCTGCGGGCAGCACACCAGTGTTTGAGAGACGGTATGCTAGCGAGGTCCTTTGATCTGCCATCTCAGTGGAGGTAGGGGATGGAGATCCATGCAGCAGCAAAGACGCAGGGCTTATTGATGTGTTAGAAACCATGGAAGCGCCTGAGAATGGTCACGTAGGAATTAGGGCCTCTCCCCGCAAAAGGTGGCAGCATCAATAGCCCAACTGAAGTGCATCTACACCAATGTACACAGCATGGGCAACAAACAGGAGGAGCTGGAAGCCATTGTGCAGCAGGAAAACCATGATATAGTTGCCATCACGGAAACATGGTGGGATGACTTGCACAACTGGAGTGCTGCAATGGATGGCTATAAACTCTTCAGAAGGGATAGGTGAGGAAGGAGACACGGTGGGGTAGCCCTGTAAGTCAGAGAGTGTTTTGACCATCTAGAGCTTAATGATGGTGATGATAGGGTTAAATGTTTATGGGTAAGAATCAGGGGGAAGGCCAACAATGCAGATATCATGGTGGGAGTCTGTTACAGGCCACCCAAACAGGATGAAGAGGCAGATAAAACATTCTATAAGCAGCTGGGAGAAGTCTCACAATTGCTAGCCCTTGTTCTTGTGGGGGACTTCAACTTACCAGATATCTGCTGGAAATACAACACACCAGGGAAGAAACAGTCTAGAAGGTTCCTGGAGTGTGTGGAAGGTAACTTCCTGACAGAGCTGGTGAGGGAGCCAACTAGGGAAGGCACTGGACCTCTTGTTTGTGAACAGAGAAGGACTGGTGGGTGATGTGATGGTTGGAGGCTGTCTTGGGCATAGTGATCACAAAATGACAGAGCTTTCAATTCTTGGAGAAGTAAGGAGAAGGGGGGTCAGCAGAACTGCTACCTTGGACTTCCAGAGGGCAGACTTTGGCTTGTTTAGGAGCCTGATTGACAGAGTCCCTTGGGAGGCAGTCCTGAAGGACAAAGGAGTCCAGAAAGGCTGGACATTCTTCAAGAAGGAAACCTTGCAGGCACAGGAGCAGGCCATCCCCATGTGCCGAAAGATGAGCTGGCAGGGGACAGGACCAGCCTGCCTGAACAGAGAGCTTTGGCTGGCACTCAGGAAAAAAAGGAGAGTTTATGACCTTTGGAAGAAGGGGCAGGCAACTCAGGAGGACTGCAAGGATGTCATGAGGTTATGCAGGGAGAAATTTAGAAGGGCCAATGCCCAACTAGAACTTAATCTGGCTACTGCCATAAAAGACAATAAAAAATGTTTCTATGAATACATTAGCAACAAAAGGAGAGCTAAGGAGAATATCGATCCTTTATTGGATGTCGGGGGAAACATAATGACAAAGGACGAGGAAAAGGCTGAGGTACCTGATGCCTTCTTCTTTACCTCAGTCTTTAACAGTAAGACCAGTTGTTCTCTGGGTACCCAGTCCCCTGAGCTGGAAGACAGGGACAGGGAGCAGAACGAAGCCCCCATAATCCAAGGGGAAATGGTTAGCGACCTGCTACACCACATAGACACACAC